AAAAAAAAAAAAAAAAAAAAAAAAAAAAAAAAAAAAATGGATGCATAACATCACAAATGCTTTTGTATATTTTTTTCCAAAGCATGCTTTCTTGTATTTTATGGCATAAATTTACTTCGATGGCCACAAATCTGGCATCCACATGTCATCTGTACTTAGATGTGGTTCTGTCTTTCTTAGTCTTCTCTCTCCCCCTTCTCAACAACACATCTATATTTGTATTCTATAGAGAACTTATAGCCATTGCACTTTAAAAGAAGAAAAGGAAGTTCAATTTTAGCCAATAGTCTTTATTTTTTCTCCTGCCTTTCCTTTGAACAAATCAGAAAGTTGAGCTGGTCTGGATTTTCCTTCCCCTTCATGTTGCCGGTGCCTAGCACATTATGGGAAGCAGACGTAAAATGGTTAAGAGCAAGACTTCTGGAGCCATATTCTGCCTGGGTTTGAACCCTGACTCTACTACTTACCAACTGTGTGGGCTTGTCACTTAACCTCTCTAAGCTTCAGTTTCCTCATCTGTAAAATGGGGAGAATGATCGTACCTACTTCATAGACTTATGAGTATTCAACAAGATAACACTACATGGAAAGTAGTAGCTTACATGGTACAGTATGCAGTAAGACTGAGGTAAATGTTAGCGGTTATTATATTCCCTCCTCTCAAATGCTCATGCCACTCACTCCTTCCTCTGATATTCTCTATGTCTTCCAGCTTGCCTATATGCTAGAAAGTCTGGGGAAAAGTTGTATAGACATTTTAATAATAATTTCACCTTGAAAGGCCTTTTCCAGCCTAACGTTTGAAAATGGGCATATCTGAGGACATGGAAGCAACCTAAGTGTCCATCAACAGATGAAATGGATAAAGAAGATGTGGCACATGTATACAATGGAATATTACTCAGCCATAAAAAGAAACGAAACTGAGTTATTTATAGTGAGGTGGATGGACCTAGAGACTGTCATACAGAGTGAAGTAAGTCAGAAAGAGAAAAACAAATACCGTACGCTAACACATAATTATGGAATCTTAAAAAGAAATGGTTCTGAAGAACCTAGGGGCAGGACAGGAATAAAGACGCAGACATAGAGAACGTACTTGAGGACACGGGGAGGGGGAAGGGTAAGCTGGGACAAAGTGAGAGAGTGGCATGGACATATATACACTACCAAATGTAAAATAGATAGCTAGTGGGAAGCAGCCACACGGCACAGGGAGATCAGCTCGGTGCTTTGTGTCCACCTAGAGGGGTGGGATAGGGAGGGTGGGAGGGAGACACAAGTGGGAGGAGATATGGGGATGTATGTATATTTATAGCTGATTCACTGTGTTATAAAGCAGAAACTAACACACCATTGTAAAGCAATTATACTCCAATAAAGATGTTAAAAAAAAAAAAGAAAATGGGCATATTTGGCAACTTGGGGATCCCTGTTGTCATGGAATGCTGAACTAGAAGAGATCATCTCCAGTCCCCCTCCAGTTAATTACTGGTGAAAGGAGTTAAGATGTGGAAAGAGAAAGTGAATAATCCAAGGTAGAAGAGCCTGAATACAAAAGGTCTCCTAATTGCTAGCACTAGGTGCTCTCTTCTATTCAGGATTCTCCAATCAAAAGGATGAAGCCAGACTCAGATGGAGTTAAGAGATGCTAACTTCCTCTCCTGCCTTTTTTTTTTTTTTTAATTTTTAATTTTTTGGCCATGCCGCGTGGCACGTGGGATCCTAGTCCCCCAGCCAGGGATTGAACCCACGCCCCCTGCATTGGAAGCGCAGAGTCTTAACCACTGAGCTGCCAGGGAAGTCCCCCCTCCTGCCTTTTGATCAGCTTCTTCTGTCCCTCCCGCCATGCTAGGGCCTCCAAAGAGGATCTCTCCTCAGATACAAAAATCAGAGCTGCCTCTCTCCAAGTTCAGGCTTTATCTATGTGCTGGGTTGTTAGCAGTTTCAGGTGAAAAGGGCTTTCCCAATCTATAAGAGAGTAAGGGTAAAGAAGAAAAATCCAAGCCTCCTTTCCATCTAGTTGCAGTGGGTAAAAGTTCTATACATAATCAGAATAAACTGAGACAGTGCTGCAGTCAGCAAAAGCTCTAAAACTATAAGACTTCTCAGTGTCTGATATTGTTTCTGACTTCCCTTGGGTGGCAGTGTTTTTCATCTAGATAGAAAAGGACATGGGAGGAATGAGAAGTATGTAGCCCAGTCATCAAAGACTAGATACTGGTTAGTGATACCAGGAGCAGGTCCATGTTTTTTGAAACCCGGGGCTTATAGAATCTGGGGGTTCTCCTTTAAGGAAAAGAACAAAAATACATGACTTTTTCAAATCGTACAAATACCAATGACCATGTGAACACACTGCTAGGGCCTCTCAGGGCCTTAGAAGGGACCTTGCATGCAAGCAAGGGGCCTGAGGCTTAAAACTCCTCTGGTTGTCAGGTAAATCCGCCTAGGAGTAGCATTAACCCTTATCAACCCAAGGAGGTAAACAGGATAGGACCTCAACCTTGGGCACCCACCTCATTTGGGTTCTCACAGTCCAATGCTACCAAACCTTACCGGTTTTAAGAAGATGCTGTTTCCCCAAGATCCATACCAGCTCATCTGTATCTGGAAATTCTTCTAGGTAGTCAGCGAAAATAGTAACCTGGTTTTCATACTTGGATAAAACTGAAAGAAAAAGAAAGAAACTTAGGCAAAATTTAATACAGAGGACTTGCTTCTGTGGTTTACTGATTATTACCTTTGTCCTGAAGGTAAAAGGTGGCTGGCTAGAATTTAATGGAAGCAAATCCTTTTCCTTGAGGAACAAAGACACTCACAAGGCCTGAAAATCCTTTAGTAGAGGGATTTCCTCTTGACCACCTATTTCGACCTTCCCTTTCTCATGGTCCCATGTGGCACCATCTCTGAATAATTTTTTGGTCACAGCTATGTCAAACTTTTTTTTTCCCAATGGGGCTTTCTTTGTAAATAGTCACTTTCCAGCTTCTCCTAGTGTGACTGTAGCAGGTGGCACAATAATACCTGCATACCTAACCCCTGTCCACATCACAGGGAATATTGTGAGGTTTCTAGCAGCCAGTGGCTTAGAAGGGGGTTATGATAAGCCTGAAAGACTATACAACTGTGAAAACGTAATATTTTAGCTGGAAGACCAGATGTTTTAACAGTACTTTCATTTACCATTTTATTCACTTATAAATTCTGCAAAGAAGAATCTTGAAGCTGCCGATAAATGTAACTTGTTCTTGGGATTCACAAGTGACTCTCTCTCAAGAGAAAGCAACTGAACAAAATGCAATTAAATCTCATAAGTTCACAGGCCACAGTCTCAGAACTTATGGCCATGTAATGCGAGATATGTTAATATTCACTTTTGTACCACCTGCGGAGAAAGGGTCTGCTAAGAGTCGAGACTGATTTATGAAGGGGTCTTATTGCAAAAGTTCCCTTTAAGTAATTTTCTGAGAGAAAGAATATTGTAGGTAAATAAGTTTCCAAGCCAGCCCAGAAAAATCTACCTTAACCTGTAACCAGAAAAATCAAATTGCTAGTATATATCATATTTTATGGTGTGATTTCAATGACAAATCATATTTCAAGTTCAAAGCTGAGACAACTCAACACACACCTTCTCTTCTAAGCTCTGGGAGGCTCCCAGCCCCTATGGGGAGGGAAGCTCAGACAGAGTAGGGGCCATTTTGTGCAGATACAAGTAGCTGCAGGGACTCTCCCAGACCAGTCCCTAAGAGCACCAGGGGAATAGTTTCCTATAAAAAATGGCATTGTGGGATGTGTTTAAGCTCACTTGAAAGGACAAATTGCTTTCTTTTGGCTTTGTTTTCTAAGGCATGCTGTTTTCATAGAAATAAATGTTCTTAAGTATAACTGAGTCTTATCTGATCATGAAAACAGGTTACGTGGTTGGAGGCTGATGTTATACTCTGTATAATTTGTATAAACTGAAGTTATAATTTGTTTGAAGTTAAAATTTTAGAAACACAGCTACCCAGGGATACTGCCTTTCTTGAAACACATTCCAGAAGTCCAGTCTTTCAGGGATTTAGGTAGCCTTTCTCCTCAAGATGTTTCAATCATTAGGGCTACAGCCTTGGCAGTACTTCAAACCTAAAGAAGTTAGAAGTGAGACAGCCATTTCATTCCCCAGTGAAAACTCATCACTGCCCAATCTGCCAGGGAGCTTGTGCCGTCTTAGCCTTTCTGCCACTGGCCTCAGCCCCTGGCCCATGCCCAGGAAACAGCAGGCTAAAAATGATCATCCAGGTCAGGCCATCCCCAGGAGGTGGTAGACTGAGGTGGCATAAATCACACTGTGTACCTCCCCACCTTACTCTACACCCCTCACAGGCAAGAGAAGTCAGCTTAAAATGAACATCCAGTGTAGCATAGAAAAGAGAAAAAAGAAGTCAGGAAATAAGTAGCTTGCGAGGAGTGTGGGAAAGGGGCAACCTCTCTGGCATTCCCCTGGTAGGGATGAGGAAGGGTGGCACTGGATGAATGTACAGCATGTATGCATATAAGCCTTGGGTCTTTTTTTAGTACTGGCTGAAAAAATAAACATTTTTCCATCGCCAACCCTGTCTCAGTGAGTCACTGCCCAGCTATCTGGTCCCTTAAAGCCTGTGGGAACTGCACTGCTTCCTCTGAGATGGCTCTGACCAAAATGGTAGCCAAAGAATTTTCCTCTTGCTCTTCCACACCACCCGCCAAGGCCAGCAGAAAGGGCATTACAGTCTCTATTCTGCCTAATTCTCCTCTTAGAAAACAGACTCCCAGAATGCAGTGTGTCAGGCCATAGCCAGCCTGAGTTGAAAGCTACATGGATGAAACAAATGAAAAGCCAGAACAGAAGATGAGATTAACGGAAGCAAAGAGCAGTAACACGGGGAGAGTATATAAATGGGAGTCCGGGGAGGAGAGAGGAATTGGTCTTCCACAAGAAGACCTCCAAGAGATGAAGAAGCCAGCTGGGATGTGGCTGAGGCGCAGAAGTGAAATGGCATTTCCAAACAAATCACTTCTCACTAATGGCAATCCTTTGGAAAAAAATTTTCGAAAACTACTTTTGTCTTGCCTTAAACTTAACACACAAGACATCAGCCCCATATGAGTTCCTTGCCCTTTCAGCCTGTTTATAAAGACATAGAACTGTACAGGCAGAGCTACAAATACTGCAGCTTGGTGGACCAAGAATTAGCTTCTACAAGGTCCGATGGACAACAGGCTTCACTCTGTTCCATTCTACTTTAATAATTATTGCACCAAAGTCTCTGCTGGGTTAGCTTAGTAGTCAACTAATAATTGATAAAAAGGTTTCCATAAACTCCTGGAACCAAAAAGTCTCCCAGTCTTGGCCAAGTGGCTCTGTGTACATGTTGGGGCATGCCTTCAACAGTCAGCCAGGCAGTTGATTAACTCTGCCCTAGTTTTCCCTTTCTGCTTGTACAGAACTCGAGGATAGCCAGAGTGAGAGCTGAGGGCCTTCTCAGGTCTTTCCTGAGCATGCACACAGCCTTGGGAATGCACATAGCCCTGAACATGCATGTGGTCCTCCCATATTCCCAGGAATATGCCTGAACTTTTCAAAGCCCCAATGGATATATTATTCCTTAGCTTTACCATTTAAACTTTTTGGTTATCTACTCCTCAAACAGCTGTGAAGTTAATCAATTGCCTCTAATAATTTTCCAAAAAAGCCCTGGCAGGGAAGGCTTTCTGTACCTCCAAGTCAGGACAAATAAATACAAGTCTTGTAAGTGGGGTCTTCCGGAGAATTGTCAGACAGATCAAATAATGACAATTCTCTAGAAATGAGGCTTGACAGGAGCTCCAACCGTGTTCTGCGTCCTCCAGGGGCTACCAGGTTGCTGGCTTTCCCTATGGTTGCAGGCTGTGGATTCTCAAGGCTACTGCAGAGCTGGAGAGCAAAGGATGGGCATAGCGCAAGTGAAAACGCCACAAAGCTTACTATTCTTACAAAAATGAAGCCGTTTTTCATGAATAAATACTCCCCAGATTGGTGCAAGCCTTTGGTTAATTTCCAGAGTGCTGCAAAAGTTGATTCTGATCATTTTTGCCAATTCTTGTCATTTCTATTATGGGTAGAATTTTCAGAAGTCCTCATTCTGCCATTTTCGCTGATAACTTACTTTAATAATTTGCTTTCCAGGGAGCTTCCCTGGTGGTGCAGTTGTTGAGTGTCCACCTGCCGAAGCAAGGGACACGGGCTCGTGCCCCGGTCCAGGAAGATACCACATGCCACGGAGCGGCTGGGCCCGTGAGCCATGGCCGCTGAGCCTGCGCATCTGGAGCCTGTGCTCCGAAATGGGAGAGGCCACAACAGTGAGAGGCCCGCGTACCGCAAATAAATAAATAAATAAATAAATAAATAAATAAATAAATAATTTGCTTTCCAGTGATTGACTATATTTCTAAGGATTATTTTTTAAACTGCAAGTAAATGAAGAAAAAATCATTTTAAACAACAGATTTTCTGATAGGGCTTAACAAAACTTGTACATCAAGGCTCCCAGATTCTGTGGGGTTTGTGCCCCACAAACAACACAATCACTCTAAAATGAAATCAAAAGGTCACAGAATCTCAGGGCCAGAAAAAGCCTGAGACACCACATCATATCTTCCTTGTAGATCACCCTATTCTAAAAGTACTCCAGGATACCGCTGCTTCCAAAACTGGCTTCTCAGCGATACATTGTTTGAATTTTTAAAAAACTGAGGTATAGTTGACATACAATATTATTTAAGTTTCAGGTGTACAACACAGTGATTCACAATTTTTAAAGGTTATATTCCATTTATAGTTATTATAAAATGTTGGCTATGTTCCCTGTTTTGTATTATATGTACTTGTAGCTTATATTTTATACATAGTAGTTTGTGCCTCTTAATCCCCGACCCTTATCTTGCCCTTCCCTACTAGTAACCACTAGCTTGTTCTCTATATCTGTCAGTCCATTTCCTTTTTGTTATATTCACTAGTTTAATACATACACATTTAACATACTGTCAGGTCACAGATTCAAAAACATAAGAAAATGTTCACGTCAGACAGGTATGGTAAGGGCTGAATATACATTAATGTACTCATTCCATAAATTTTTACAGAGTACCTACTATGTGCTAAGCACAGAGAATAAGACATCACTGAGATGTAGCCTCCATCCTCCAAAACCTTTTAATCTAGTAGAGAGGATAGGCCTGGAAACAACTAACAACAATAAGTCCTATAAGAAAGGAAAGTGAGAGAGAAGAGATCAAGATGGTGGAGTAAGAAGACACGGACCCCACCTCCCCCAACAAAAGCATCAAAAATACATCTACATGTGGAATAATTCTCACTACAACTAACTGGAGGGACTTCCCTGGTGGCGCAGTGGTTAAGAATCCACTTGCCAATGCAGGGGACATGGGTTCGAGCCCTGGTCCGGGAAGATCCCACATGCCATGGAGCAACTAAGCCCATGTGCCACAACTACTGAGCCTGCACTCTAGAGCCCGTGAGCCACAACTACTGAAGCCCACGTGCCACAACTACTGAAGCCTGTGCGCCAAGAGCCCACGCTCTGCAACAAGAGAAGCCACCGCAATGAGAAGCCCATGAACCACAAGGAAGAGTAGCCCCCGCT